GAATGTGCATTGAAAATGAAAGAGGAGACTATGCAGAAAATGGTCCAGTTCTTCTTGCCAGAGTGTTGCCAGTTATTTTTGAAATGTTCCTTTCACATCTTGAGGTAACTGCCGCGGGAGCGGGGACAGCGGAGGCGAAGGGAGAGGCTTCCTGTCCGTGACACGGGAGAGAGAACCAGCATCCATAGTGAGGAAGCCTGGGTTCTCCTCTGCAGTTTGGTAGCTGTACGGCTTTGGACCATAAATAACCTCTGTTCTTTATCTGTAAAATATAGATAATTAAGCTACAAGAAAAGAAGAGAAACCATCATTTAAAAGAAATTGTTTTGAAGAGAACATAGAAAATTCAATGAGTTGTTTTGAAAGGATTTACTTTAAAAGTCTAGCTATGCAGTCTGTGGACATAAGGAGATGAAGAGCTGTGCTAACTCGTAAATCAGGAGAGTCTCAGTGTCCCGGGTTTGCCATGGAAACTGAAAGCATATTCTGAGCAAAGGACAGAGGAGGGGAGAGCACACAGACATTCTGGCAGCTGTGACATCCTGTTTGAGTAGCAATCCGAAGCCTAATATCAATACACAGCTCTTAATAAATGTCACAGCTTTATAACGACAAGAAAGAGTACCCGTATTATCCTACCTTGTCATATAGGGAAGAAGGGAAAATAGGAAAATACACATGTGTCGGCTTATTTTGTGCAAAAGAAAAAGCACAGAAAAGATGAATGAGTGAGACTGGGAGTGTGTAGGAAGCAGGAAAGAAGGTCAATGGAACAGGAGCAGCAAAGATGAAGGTGCAGTGGCTGCCTCTCTGAATTTATCTTTTAGCAAAATTTTTACTCTAGAATTACGTTAATGTCTTACATACTCAAAAAAGAAATAACTTATTACAATGTTTTTAAATGGGTGCCAGCAAGAGCCCATGGGAAACGGAAAGGGGAATCGTGGCGGAGTGACGCAGCCTCCCAGCCCCAGGCAGACCAGGCTCCTCTGGGCCAGTCCCCAGGGTATCTGGGGACTGTCCCCAGCCAAGCTAGGCAGATTCCTCTACCCAGCAAGCCCCTGTTGGAGACCTACTAGGTGCTGGTTACTAGCCTAGGTCTTAGGGACACAGCTGTGACAACAGACCCAGAGTCCTAGTGCCGCCTAATGGGACTCTGCGCTCAGGTTACACACGTTAGAGAGCGATGGTTTCCTCCAAGCCCTCAGGGCCCAGGCGCCTGTTGTGTGTGGAATTTTAAAGGGGGAATCCTTAAGTTGTAGGAAAGTCTGAAAGCAATGGGGAGGAGGGAGAACTTTTGTCAACTATGGATGGGAAGAGTTCAAAATATATTGTGTACAAATTCCATACGATTATGCAAAGTACCACGCTGCATGGGAATGGTTTAAAATCTGTCCCTGTGCAAGGATGGGAAAAGATAAAAGGGCTGAGACCCCTCGTTTCCTGGTGCTCAGGGCGAGACATGGAACTGCCCCACATGGGCGCTCAAAACACGTTTGTGGGCCTAGTGCGGGTGCAAGCGTTTCATTGACCTGAGTGGAGGGAGTCGGGTCCACTCGCCCTGGCAGGGCCGCCTCCATCTCATTTGGAGAACAGAGATGAGGACGCCTCCACGCGGGAGCAGATGAACATCGCTCACACACACACTCACACACCCGACCTGACACCACACAGTCTGGGCCGCTCCAAGTCCTGCCTAGGAGAAACCTAGTAAAAGATGATTAGCAAACAGCGACACTCATCTCAGGCATATAGTGTGTTCTACTGGAAAGGACAGCGTACTGAACACAAGGAGATGTATCGTGACCCAAAACAGGTTCCCTACCTTTTCTTTGTCTTGGTTTCCTCATTTGTAAACTAGAAATAATAACTGATTTTTGTTGGACGCCTTGCCTAGCTGCTTCCTTGCTCCCCCCAGACACCGGGCTTCGGCCAGCCTGAAGTCGCTAGCGCTCACCTTGCGGGGGTGGAGGGCAGTCCCGGCTGCGGCTGCAAGGGGCGAGGTCGGGCCGCTGGTTCCGCTCTGCTCTCCGCGGGGCGGCTCTCAGCGCGCCCTTGCGCTGGAAAGGAAGGGAAGTGGACGGGGGTGACGGGAGACGGGAGCCGGGCGGGGTTGGGGGGGAGGACACCCAGGCCCGGCCGGTTGGCCGGAACCTCCCAGGCACCGAAGGGGGCTCCAGCAGGGCGCGTCCTGCCCAAGGAAGAGAGCGCTGGGAGCGGAGACCCCAGAGCCGCACTGCCCGTCCGCACAGCCCCCTTCCCGCAGGGCTGGCCGAGCGGGAATTCAGAGCCTCCGTCCGGTTGCGGCCCTGGGCATCGGGGTCCGAGCCGAGGCCACCCTTTTCCTAACGAAGGCTCCTGTTTGCACCACCTGCGAGGGCTTAGAAAGCCTTTTCGGGTCCAAAGTCTCATCCTATCCTTTCGAGAACGCAGAAAAGAAAGGTAAGACCGAGGAGGGCCTGAGAGCCGGATTTGAACTTAGGGCGTCTGATGTCAAGTCTCTCCCAAGGCCTCCTTCCTTCTGTGACTTCAGAGAGCCTGACAGTCCGCTGCAACAATCCCCCCCTAGAATGAGACGCTGGTGTGCTCGCCCACAGCCCCAGCTCGGAAGGCGAGGGCCAGCCTAGCTCCTGGCGCGGGAGGGGCCCGCGCCTGCCGCGGTCCTGCGCGTGGAAACACCCTAAACTCGCTCTCTCTCCGCGTGGGGTCGTGGCTATAACTAGCCGCCTCAGGCCTGCGCCCGTGCCTCTACGGGAAGGAAGATACGATCGGATCATACTATTTCTCTAGAAGTCCGGGGATGTTTTATGAGCATCAAAACATTTGATTAATTAATGTTTATTTTACATATTTATCCCAAGGAAATAATCCAAGTTGCTAACAAAAATGAAGTCACAAAGATGTTTCCTAAGGCTTATAGTGTTAAAAAAAAAAAACCTAAAAGTGTAACACAGTCTATTATGGTCTATCCATAACGTGGACTACTATATTGCCATTTAAAAACATATCTGTAAAAACTCTAATAAAGTTCTGCATCAGGTTATGATGTAAATATAAAATTTGCAGCCTCGAGTGTCCCCGTGCATGGAAAAGAGGGTGGAGGAAGTGCACTGGAGCCTTATCCCTGGACGGAGCATTTCTTCTCCACTTTTCCTTATTTTCATTTTTCCAAAGTGTATGTGACTTTTATAATCAGAAAAAAAAAATTAAATGTAAGTAAAATGTATGGATCATTGCAAGATTTCGACATCTCGGAAGACAAAGTGATGTCTCTTTCAGGAAAAAGGGAGGGTACTGTTTTGGCAAAACCGGGGTCCAAGGCGCCCTGGCACTGACTAACTGGAACACGCCTGGGAGTCGCCGAACCGCTCTGGTGCTGAGTCCTCGCTGCCGGGGGAGGGGAGCTGGAAACACTGGGGTACAGCGTTGTTGTAGAGATCAAATGGTATGATGCATAAGCAAGCATTACTTGGCTAAACCATCCCATTTACCAAAACTTTACAGGAATGTTTCCAAAAATTCTTTCAAGATTTTCTGCATCCACTAGCCTGGCAGATGAGCCCGGTTGACCCGGATATCAGGAAATAATAACGCCCAGGAAGTCCTTATAATATTGCATTTGCCTAAAAAGGTGTATTTAAGAAATATTTGACCTAAAACCCCCCAAAGAACTGTAATGAGACCTCATTTTGATTTTAAAATATTTTTAAACTCCTTCACTGTCGCTGAGACTACTGGCCGCGTCATGTCTTGAATGAACCACGTGGCAGGAGAATTACAACAGTGGACACAGGCTGATGGTTTCATGCTCTCAATTCTCACAGTCATCCTCTGATGGGCATACTGTTATCTCCAGTTTTGATTAAGTTAAAGCTTAGAGAGATAAATACTTTGCCCAAAGCCCACAATTCATACAATCTAGAGCAAGGCTAGACTTGTTGACGCCACCTGGCTCTGATAGCCATTGAACCACACTGCCTCCCTTCCCCAGAAGCTTTTATGAGGAGTTAAGGCCCATCGGAACTCCCCACCCCTGGGAGCGCGCTGCGTTCCTAGTCACGCCCGTGCACACTCCGGGCAATCCGCTTTAGGGAGGGTGACGGTGGGGAGGGCGGAGGGACGGGAGCAGGAACTTGGGGCCTGGGGGCAAGGTGAGCCTCTCTCTAGCACCTGCTCGCTGCCGGGGCTTTACCTTTCCTCCTCTCCCCGCACTGGAGCAGCCTTGCTAAGAGCCTGGAGGGAGGGTCCCCCAACACAGCTCCCTCGCTTTTTATTCGCTCCGGGGCTGACATGTTCCACCTGTGAAGTGGCGTTCCGAGCTCTGAGAGACGTTTCCAACCTCCGTCTAGGCCGGAGCAGGTCGGGACTCGCTCCTCCGCGGTCCCACCTCTGCTCTCCGGGAGGAGCTTCCGGCCGCCTGCCCGCTCTGTGAGCCCACAAAGACTCGGGCCTTGTACCTCCATCCTGCGGGTGCCCCGCGATCTCCACCTGAGTTATCCTGCAACGGGAATGGAGAGTTAAGCTAATGCCAGGCCGGAAGGAACGGCTCGGGTTGCAAAGCAAGGGCTCCGTCCCCCATCCCCGCACATCCTATAGGAAAGTCCCCGCGGACCCGGGGTTGACCTCGGAAGCTCGCGCTGGTACCGTATTCACCGAGATACGAGCTTTGCGCAGCACTATCTCTTCCGTTTTCCTCGCTTCTGAGGACGGTCAATACGAACCAAACCTTCCCAGAAAGTGGCTGGGGGTTGCCGAGGAATTAGAAGGGCGCGGGAGGGAAGCGCTGGGGGAGGAAGGTGCTGCTGGGTTAGCACGTGGTTTCTGCAGGAACCAATGGGGGTCCGCAGTCTCGTCACTCAGCCCTGGTCACCCGGCCCGTAAAGGTGGCCCAGAGGAAGGCGCACTCGGGGACGCTAGGCGTCTGCCCCAGACCTTGGGTCTGCGGTGCCAGCGGCGACCAGACTCAGGGACGCCCCAGCCCCCCTCCTTCTGCCTTCGGGATGCTGCAGAACCCCGCCACCTCCACCCCCTTCTCGGTCAATGACATCCTGAGACTAGAGCGCGAGCAGATTGGGCTCGAGGCCTTGCAACTCCAGGAGGCACGGAGGAGCCCCGAGAGCTCTCAGTATCTGAGACTGGTCCCAGAATCGCGAGGATCGGAGGTTCACAACACCGGTGGCTGTGGTGGAGGCGACAGGAGGCCGGCCGGGTCAGAGCCTCCCGGGGATCCCAATGAGCTTGTCACAGAAATGGACGCGGAACGGGTGGGTGAGTACATGCGCAGGTCTTGACACCTACAGGGAGATCAGGAGAGTAGGGAGGGGTCGTTACCAGTTGGAGTCTTCTGGTCTCCTCAGTTCCGGGGCCTAGCCTCACTTCCCTTCATTTGAAGAGCCCCGTGGACAGGCTCTGAGTCCCCTCTGCCACCCCCTCCAACCCCCCAGTGTGCTTCACCTCCCCTATGGTGGGAGGGGGAAAGGTCCTGAATCTTAGGGATGTACTCTTTCCACAGCCTGTCCTCATGATCCCACAAACGCATCCTCCCATTCACAGCCACATGCCCGGGAACACCAGCTTCTTTTTCTGACAATAAAATCTGCTACACTGCCTTAGCTCTGCTCCTCACTGCTCGCCTTCCCTGCCGCCCCGGGCTCTCGGCCCTAACCCATCTGCCACAAGCGTCGCCATCAGAGCAGCTGGACACATGGGGAAAAGAAACTGCAATAGCTCTGGGGTCAATCCCAGGCCGGCCCTCTCTGGGGCTTGCTAAGTGGCCTGGCCAGCCGAGTTGATCTTGTGCCTGGTGACTCGTCTCAAAAGTGAGCGGCGTCGACCAAACCGGGCGAGGTCTGAGCCCCTGGGCATGGGCGGGCCTTCGGGGTCTGGCGGTGAGCTCTCTGCGCTTGGGAGCACAGTAAGGGTCGCTTGGGTTTGCGCTGCTTCAAGAAGCCAATTCTGTGGAGTCTCCAAGCAGTGTTGGTGCCTGGTCCCTGAAGGCGCAGCTGGTGCCCGGGACAGCGAGGCCCCAGTCCCTGTTTCCAGCAGCAGGAAGGGAAGGGGCAGCAGGGAGTGGTGTTGCATTGGCTTTTACCACCAGGGAGGCTTGTGCCGGCCGGAGAGACTCAACATTCCCAGGGAGGAAAAAGCCACTCTTCCTCTCGTCCAACCTTTTGCCTGGGTCCGCAGCCTCCACACAGATCTGGCAGCCCTGAGAGACGCTGCGAAGGTCGTGCCTCCTCTGCCAGGCAGTGCCACGGGGCCGCTCCATTCGAGGCGCAAACTGACCAAACAAAGAGACTATTGCAAAGTTATGCATCGACTTGCAGGCTGGTTATTCACCACCTCAAGAGCCTGGAGAACATCACACTTCACTCTGTTCACAAAGAAGCCTGCGGGTTTTCTGCAGCGGATTCTAAACCCTGAATCCCCTCGCACTGCCCAGGCCCTGGGCTTCACCTCCGCTCTGGTGAGAAAGGGGATCAGGGGTGTCCCCTGGCAGCCGGAGGCCCCTCAGCTCGCAGCTCCTTCCTTTTCCGCTGCCACAGAAGCAGAGAAGGGCCCCAGCCTGGTTCCGGGAAGAAGGCCCACAGCAGCGACCGAGCAGAACAAGGGCTTTTCTGGTGACCTCGGCGCGCCCCATTGGTCCCCAGCTGACCCGTCTTGCTTTTAGGGACACAGAGCGACAGAGGTTTTGAACTGTGACCAGAAGGGCACCGGGTGCTGCCAGGCGCTAGGTGCCATGAAGCCCCTCGGGCTGCGTGGTCAGGGACTTTTCAGTGGGGCCCTGCTTGTTTCACAGGGTCGCTCAAGGTCAGCTGTTGCTTTTTGATTTTCTACGAAAACAAATCTTCATCAATAGCTTTCCTCTTTGCGAGAAGAGATGTCCTCGGTTTTTCTGAGCGCAGGCTTCTCTGAAGGAAGTTTTTATTTCTTCAGACTTTAAACACCAAGCAGCCCATCCTCCGGGAGATTGTGCCAGCGCGGTTGGCGGTTTGAGGTCGGCTTCCCCGCGCACCAACCGTAATTAGGCACCTCCGCTCCCCGGCGCCACAAGCTTGCACCCTGCACGTTCCTTGTTTACTCGTGGAGGGAATTTCCACGCAAACTCTGCGTTTCCTCTCTACCCACCGTTCGGTAAAAACAGAGCCTAAGCCGAGACAGCAGAGAGGTGAGGAAACAGGCAGGAAGGTTGCGTCTTGGCGGGCTCCGAGCCCAGCGCCTCGCAGCTGCCGACTCCTAGCCTTGCTTTCACCGGTTCAGGGGGAGCCGCCTGGGTGTGCGCGGCCAGGGCGCTGCCCCGGGAGGAGAAAGTCTGGGCGAATTCAACGCCGCCCGCTTGTCACAAAGACCCCGAAGGAGAAAGAGGCCGCTTTTATTTTTTTTAAGCCCAGAAGTGAATCTCAACTACCTATTTTCAGCTAAGAGTCAGGAGTAAAAAAAAAAAAAAAAGTGTTGTTTTACTTTATTTTGTTACTGTGGCTCACGGAATCTTGCATCCAAGAAATAGGGGGCCGGTGCCTGGGGTCGGTGGAGCACTTGATGACCAACAAGACAAGGGTGTGTGCCAAGGTAGGGTGAAGGTGCTAGACACTAGAGACTCCCAGCTCGGAGCCGGGTATCCCGCAATGTGTGCGTGACCACGGTGGATGAGCAGGCGGACAGGAGCCTCTGGCAAGCCAGTCACCGGGTCTCTCTCCCCCCCACCTTCCTCCCATGCCCCTCCTCTCTCCCCTTCCACCAAGGGCCGTCCGAAGTCAGCCCCCAATTGATAGGCCCCCTACTTACTCTTGATCCTTGCAGCAAAAACTTCCTCCTCAAACTCAACCGCACTTTAGAAATCACAGCAAACCGCTGCCACCCCATCACCCCCCACCACACGACATTCTAAGGGGAAAATGAAACTGTCTTAGACTCTTGATCAAGACCATACACCGCAGACCACAGAATGTCACAATTTACGTAGGTTCCAGCACGTACAAAAGCAACTGAGCTGGGGGAAAGGAACCTTCAGGCCGACCTAGGACAGGAGTGTCGACAGAAAGGAGAAAGGGGGCGCGGAGTAAAGGCTACCCAGGGAGAGGGCCATCCCTTGAAAGCCGCGCAGGAATGGCTCACGCGAGCCTTGGGCTGGGTGCTGACAGTGTTCTGTTCTTTCCTGTGCATTTAGATCTGGGCCTCGGGGCAGCCTCGCCCCTCGGCAGCGGGACCCGGGGGCCGGAGCGCTGCGCCGGCAGCAGCGGCGACGGGCTGCGAGGGGAGCGCGCGGAGCAGCCCAAGGCGCGGCAGCGGCGGAGGCCGCGTGTGCTCTTCTCGCAGGCGCAGGTGCTGGCGCTGGAGCGGCGCTTCAAGCAGCAGCGGTACCTGTCCGCGCCAGAGCGCGAGCACTTGGCCAGCGCGCTGCAGCTCACGTCTACGCAGGTCAAGATCTGGTTCCAGAACCGGCGCTACAAGTGCAAGAGACAGCGCCAGGACAAGTCCTTAGAACTGGCGGGCCACCCCCTGGCGCCACGTCGGGTGGCGGTGCCCGTGCTAGTGCGCGACGGCAAGCCCTGCCTGGGCCCCGGCGCGGCGGCCTTCCCGGGTCCCTACGGCGCGGCCGCCGCGCCCTATTCCTGTTACGGTGGTTATGCGGCTGCTCCCTACGTCGCGGGCTACAGCGGAGGCTACGCTGGCGGGCCACCGGGCCCCGCACCGCCCGCGCCCCTGAGCAGTGCGGGCCTCGGAGCGGGTGGCCCGAGCGTCAGCCCGCAGGGCCATCTGCCCGCCACGCTGCAGGGTGTCCCGGCCTGGTGAGGCGCCCTGGCTCAGACACACCCGCCAAGGGCCAGGTGCTGCGTCCCGCTCTCCGCCCACGGGTCGCGGCAGAGGAGACGGCCTGTCGCATTGGAGGGAAGAGGCGACCCAATGGCATTCTCCCTTGAGCGATCCCTGGGACTGTGTATCGCCCCCTACGAGCCTTCCGACTGAAGGCCCAGGAACGTTCTTCCCTCAGAGACAGAACGCGGGGCCTTCGCCAGCAGCCCACCGAGCCGCGCTGGAGGCAGGAGGAAGGCCAGGGCGGCGGGGCAGTACTCAGGCAGGTGACTTCGGGTGTCAAACCGAGGGCGGCGGGAGGTTCTTTAATTTGTGCGCTGCAGCCCTGGGCAGCTGGAGGCCACTCTGGAGGAGGGGTGCGCTGGCGGGCGTTGAGCCTCCAATGAAGGGCAACAGGTGGGCGGGGCGGGGGGCGGCGGAGGAGGATGAGAAAAAAGGGTCGGGTGAGGAACGCGGGATGAAGAGCCAGCCGGGAAAGGGAGGAGCCAGGGGTCAGGAAGAGGGACTGTAGTGGGGTCTAAGCCCTCCTCCCCGCTGCGCCGCTGGAGGCTCCGGATTAACCAGTGCAGCGCTCTTTTCTGGGGCCACACTTGGTGTCCACGACGTATCCTCTGGTTCTTCCCTCCGCGTCAGTGCATTTGACCACAGCTCAGCATCCTGAGGACATACACGAAACGTGTTTGTGTGTTCGCATGTGTGTAGGCCATTAGAATTTACCCACCTGTCTGGTACCTCGGAGCAACTTCGAATTAAAGTAAAAAACGAAGCCCGGAAGTTCTGAACCCTAAGTTCCTACAGTCTCCCTAGGGAGACCTCCCGGATTGGGTCCTGGAGCTAAGTTAGGGAGCTGGTTTCCTCCCTCCCCCTTTCTCTGCAGGTTTCCTTTCAGAGCATAGCCGGTTTCTAAGTTCTCATCTGGAAAGGAGGCCTTCGCTGGCCCTGAGTTCTGACAGGAGGGGACAGGGAGCCTGAACTGCAGGGGAAATTAGGACCCGCAGCCCCACAGACGTCTGAAGTCATGCAGACTGAAGACTGAAAAGAAACTCACTTTATTCATGGGAACGTTCGTCTTGGGCAGGCGCTAGTGGAAAAATCCAGAATTTTAAAATAACATATTTTGTCAATGAAAACGCTGGTTTTTCATCCCCTGGACCACTAACTTGTCAGAAGTTAAAATTATTTAATAAATTCTAATGTTTGATTGAAATGCAATGGCCCAGCACTTTCTCACTTCCCAGCGTGCCCTGGTTGTTTTTCCCCTGTGTGGTCGAGAGAGGCTGCCTGGTCCCTTGTAAACTAACCCTAAGTAGTTCACATAGCTGACATCTTTTAAAGCTTCTGCGTTTAAGCTAAGGGCGCGAGTAATCGTTTCTATTTTTCTTTACCACCATTTCCTTACATTTTCTCTCCTTTTACTTAAGTGACTTGTATGACTCTTCTCAAGAGTATAAAATACTGTGTATTAAGTTTTTAAAGTCCCCTGCTACCCTTTGGGTAAGGTCCCGACCCTGGATGTGTAGGCCGTCACAGTGTGGATCTAGCAGCGCACGTGGCCCAGAGTAGGAACTGAATCAACGCCCCCCCTTCACCCTCCCGCCGCCTTCTGACTGTCAGCAGTCACCAGACCTGCGGCTCTGCGCAGGCCTCCCCCAGCGGCCCCCCCACCGCCCCGTGTCACGTGGAAAAGCCCAGGAGGAGGGGCCGTGGCTGTGAGGCTGTGTCCGAGGCTGTGAGTGAAGGAGGAAGAGGTGAGTCCCCTCCTCAGTAACTCAGTCCTCGCTGAGCACTTCTGCTAAGGACACAAGAGAAAATAAGATTCGGCAGCCGCCTTAAGGAATTTACTATCTAACTCCATAACAGAGACTGATAAGAGAAAGGTATCTAAAAATACAAGGCGGTGTATGCTGCCTGTCAAATAGGCAGACCAGGAGCTCTCCAGAAAGGAAGAAACCCTGGTGGGAGCTGGGTGCTCAGAGAAGGTGCCCAGGGGAGGGGGGGTAGGCCTGGTGACGAGGGACGGAAGGGCACGGTTTCCTAGCCGAGCTCCTGGAAGGGTCTGGGACTCGGGGATCCGGCACAGTCCACGGGCACATGCTGAAGCCAGAGCTGCATTTTGCAGTAGCGTAATCAGGATTCAAGGCTGGCTCTTGGGGATTTGTAAATTGTATTTAGTGGGCTGATCGCGGGGCATTAGGCTACGGGAGGGGGAGTGTTGTTTTTATGTACGCCCAAGATCACTTTAAATATTCCCTTGACCTGCGACATTGTCTGTTTGTCTCTCCGTATTTGACAGTCTGAACAAAACAGAATAAATGAACCTGTAACCAAACCTTGCCCATGTGCGCTCCATGTGGGTTTTTCTCGAGGGGAGCTTGGAAGGTGGAGACTCCCGGGACAGAAGGGACGAAAAGGGAAGGAAAGCCCTCCTCTCCCATCTCCCCCTGGCCTGTCAGGGCCGCTTTGAAACGCACGCCCTCTCCCCCACCCTCACGCCCCGCCCCCAGCCGCCCACCGTCCGTCCTCTCATCTCCCCTCTGCCTGAAAGCTGCCCCTTTTCGTGCGTCTCCCCCGCCACAGCTTTCACCAGGCTCTGTAAGCCATCAGCCCCTTATCTGCACCGCTCAGGCCCATCACTCCAGTCACCTCTTAATGTTCACAAGTTCCCCAAATGGGAAGTAATTGACCTCTAAACAAAACAAAAAAGCTCTCAGAGAGATAGCAGAGGTTCCTTTCGGGACTGTCCCAGGGCGAGGGGTCTCACCTAGGCCAGGTGGATAAGTCAATAAGATTGCAGACTTCCTGGCTCCCTGTCCTTCCTCCCCTCCCCCCACCCCACCCCCCCAGTCCCTTCAAGCCAGCCTCACCCCGCGCCGTCTGCAGATAGGGCGGGGCACGCGTCGAACTCTCGATCTCAGAGTTGCCAGAGATTTCTGGTATTTATTTTTTGTAATTTTATCATCATAATGATGTAACTTTGGGGAGGGGGGCACACACTGAAGTCTTTTAAAATTCCATTTGAAAAATGTTTACAGTCCTGAGTTTACAGCCGCTCTGTAGTATATCAGCCCACTAACTTGCCTTTTTTCTTTTCGACGAAACAAGGGAACTCCCAGGCAGCCAAGCTGTGCCCGGCCATCCCCTTCCCCTAAGGAGGCCTCTTCAGAAGCCGGCAGGTGGGGAAGGAACACCGAGCCAGGAGCTGCTGGACCTCATCTCGTCCAGGTTCCACTAGGGACCCGCTGTGTGACCTAGAGCACGCCTCCTGACCTCTCTGGGCTGCAGTTCCTGATTGACAAAATTGAGGGGGTGGAGCTCTCCTCTATTATTCTAATTTTAGGTGCCTCCCTGTTGATTTCAGATGCCTTTACCTTTTAAAACACAGTCACATAGATTATACATCCACAGGACTTCATTAAACAGAGGCACAGCTTAAAGGATGACGGTAAGTGCGCAGAGCTGTGATGCCCTGTCAAGGCAAAGGCAAGCAACGGGGCGCCAGCTCCCAGCAGCCCTCTCCCCATGCCGTTCCCAGAACGCAAACCCCTCATCCTTCCTTGCCCCCAAAAGATGCCAGCTATTCTGAATTCTGCAATAATGATTTATAAGCTTCTCTTTATGGATTTACCGTTATGGACACATCCCTTAATGATATGGTTTAATTTTGTCTGGCTGTGCATGTTCCATATTCCTGACTTGCTTCTTTTATTCACCTTTGTGAGACTTACCCAAGTGTCTTTGCGGAGCTTTCGTTTGCTCCTTTTCATTGCTACACTGTACACCATTGAATGCATGTGCCTCAGCGTGTGTATTAACTGAAAGTGCAGGTCGTCCCCAGCTAGGGACTGTAACACAGAAGGCTGCTGGCTTTCCCCCTCCCACCGGGACAGCTGAGTTCCCCAGCCGCCGTGTGTCCTGGCCTCTCTGAGCTGACCTGCAGGGCGAGGCCCCGTCCTCTGACAGACTTCCCTTCCTATAACGAGCAGCCTTACCCCGGCCTAGCCTTTCAGCCTCTCTCTGATTTCACTGCCTACTCACCACCTCCATCCGAGGCAGAGTATATTACGGTCCCCATTCTCAGCAGGGTCCAAGGGCCAGAACTGGGATGAGACCCCAGACCCTCTGCCCTCTGGCCATGGGTCGCTTCCACCGAATGCTCAACAGGAAGTTCAAGTCCTCACACAAACTGGGTGAGCCCTGAGAGACACCATTTTCTTTAGTATCTGGGGGGAAGAGGCCTGAGGGGGTGGCAGCCTTTTGGAAAGCATCAGGAGGGGATGCGTAGGAAGTAGGAAGCAAGATGCCAGGGAGGCTGGCAGAGGCTGGGAGAGGTACAACAGCACCTTCAGATGCTGGCTGCAAACAGTCTTTAAAGACTCTGGCTTATGCATCCCTCTCACCCATTTTGGTCTACGTTTTCCTCTGCACTTTGAACCCTGGGGACGCCGACTGAGACAAGCTTTCAGCGGGTCCACTCTCGAGAGTGGGGAGGATTCAGCCCTGAGCTGTTTGTCCTCCGCAGTTCACCTCCCCCACCGCGGGGAGAGCTTCATGGGAAGTCTCTCGGCTTCCTCCCTGACTCTGTTTAGACTCCAGCAAGTCCCCCCACCCTCAGCCCAAGAGCGAGCTGTGGTCTTAGTGACACAGTCCAGATTCCACTCTGAGAGCAGCAGATATGCCCTGCAGCCTGGCAGCAGGCCTCAGAGCGCTTTCTAAGGGAGTCCCGACGGGCCGTCCTTAGGAGCGGGTCTCAGTCAATTCCAGTTTCTTCCCATCCATGCCTCCTGCTTCCCCCTGTCACCGGCCCAGCTTAATTGCTGGCAACCCCAGGGCCCAGGCAATCGGAGCCCAAAGTTAGGACTTGAGTGGGCCAAAGGGAGCATTGCCTTTGATGGCTCCGATCTCGGGGCCCCCTGGTGCCACCCTTGGACATTCTCTGTGGCTTAGGTCCCCCAGTACCTGCTCCTGGGCCAGCTTGGACA